CAGTTTATATACTTATATCCAAGTATCAAATATTAGACCGCCAAATAAAAATAAATAGATGGGCTTGAATTAAAGAGCAAAGGAAATTCAGGGCAAAGGAAAAAAAGGGGGGAAACTACTTTTTTTTTTTAATTAATGAGAGGCAAACACACATAACTGCAATTTCAAAGTTAGAAATTCATTTTATATGAAGTTGTTTATTTTCTGGGACATATAAGTCATATTTTAAAAAACTTTACAATGTCATCAACCGCAAGACACATTGGGTTACTCAATAGTTATCTAATCAAGTCCCCAAGAGGAAATTATATCAGAGTTTAAATTGTGAGATTCTGGTGTGCAGAAGGCTACAGATGACAGTGGAAGCCCAAAATCCATTTGCAGGATCTACAAAAACAATAAGCCTCCAGTGGTTTCCCTCTGACCATAATTTCAGAAAGGGAATAACCTGGTTATCAGACAGAGTATTGGAGAGACTACTGTAGTATTTTAAAATGCTAAATGTGGCTTGAACTGTTAAAAAAAATCATGTAATCATAGATGTTTTATTAGTATGTTCTTCCAAAGTTGTACCGATAACTACTTGGCATCTTAAATGGGCCCTAGAAATATGCGTTTTTGGAAGACATCCCAGGTAATGCAATCGCATCTACAGATTGGAGAATCAATAACTTTACTGTAGACCCATATTCAAAACTTTGAAAACTGAAAGCCAGAAAACAAGCACTAGATGGCAACCTTGCTCACAGTTTTGTCTGCTGTTTGTTTGCTTTAAACTTTTAAAATACATAAAATTAAGCAGAGCACCAGATAAAGTGAAAGTCTCTTGAACTCATATTCATAATTAAGTTTAGAGGAAATGTCTCATTATTTCAAGTTAACTTTAAAATAGGCAAAGGGCCTCTCTTTTACCAAGCCCATATCCCATTACTGTTATTCTCCATAATCAAAAGCAAGCGATCTTTGGTTTGAATTAATGGGTTCCCAGGACATGTTGGATCCAGCTTTAGTTTGCACACATCTCTCCTATGAAGGGTGGAATGTCCTGTTCCCCACACTATTGGCTAGAATTTATCTTCATTGAAAATATGCCTCTCTTCTTTCTTACTAATATCTGGGTCTCATTAAATTAAAAAACTATGTTCAGTTTTGTAAGGCTAACCCCCTGACATTGACACTTGCCATTTTTTCTTACTTGACCTTCAAAGGTGCAGATTGTTTCATGGTAAAGACAAGAGTAGAGACTATGAAGGATGTTATGTGGAATAGGAATGAATCATTCTCCTTAGCACCAGGATGGAGTTCCCGGTTAGCGTATAGATTTAAGCAGGCAAAATGCCACCCTGTCAGGGTCAAAAGAAAGTTATTCTGCTTTAAGTGAGAACTAGACTAATGAAAAACCTCTAAGATTCCCTCCAATGTGTACCCTACCCTTTATAACAAGGTAAAAATTTATTTTCTGAACCAAAATGTGTAATATTATAAATTGCATCTCACATGTTCATTCATAATGTTATTCCTCAAGTTTTTTGCATCTCAATTTTGTGATCCTATATATTAACCAGCACTATCAGTTTTTGAGATGTAAAACAGTATATATCTTTGAGGTAGTCATCTCAGCCATTTGTAAGAATTCTAAACAGGGCAGAGGCTGTGATGGAGCCCTGTGACATGCTGATGCTGAATTCCCTCTGTGGTCGATGGTGTGTGCCTTCGGGTTGATTCCAACTGAAAGGGACCCTACAGGGGAGCTTAAAAAGTTGTGTCGAAAACATGGAACTTCTCCATGCATCTTCTGAAGCCCACCCTCCATATACAACAGGGTAGAACCACCCCAAATTGTTTTCCAGGCTGTAATCTTTGTGAAGGAAGATTGCCAGATCCTTCCTCCTGCAGAGCCATTGGTGGATTTGAATAAATGACCTTTCCATTGGCAATAAAGTACTTGACCTTTGCACCACCAGGACTCCTGTACAAATGTTAGGCTAATCCTAATGTATTAATCAATAATCTTCGGGTGCAGCTGTTCAATTGCATAACTCTTCAGATGGCAATAAGAGAATGTGGGCAACATGCTGAACCTCAGAGTTTTCCAAATTTACAAAACCAGTAACATTATCCTAAGATGACACAAGTAGAATTGCAGCAAAACTATAAGAAAGTTGTGGTGATTTAAATTTCTTTAAAAATGCAAATGATGATAATTTTATTTCTGACAAAGCTCTAATAGACAAGATACATGGAAAAGCTTCTGAAACTTAACACAAAACAAAACATGATGAATAGGAAGATACACTATTCAAACCCAGTCCAACAAAGGCTCCAAAGCCAAGCAGAACAGGTGCAGATGAGAATCCTGACACCCAAGCTCCCAAGGAGGGGATAAAGAAGTTGATCGAATACTGATGAAAGAGACAGTGAATACAGAAGCATAGAAGGTAGCAGACTGCCAGTTGGCACATTGCAGCCATCTTGAATTATTGCCAGCAGTGTTTCCACTGGTGCAGAAACCTGGTAACTGGCTCCACTGCCCTAGGACTACATCAGCATCCACTCTAGTGATCAACAATCCAAGAAGTGTGTGATGGGTAGGGATTAGGTCAACTAGATGCTCCTGGGTAAGGAGGGGGCAGAGCTCAAACAGTCCATTTGATAGCAGCTGGAGGACCCTTCCTTGGTGTCACCAGCTTTTTGGTAGAAGAGGAGAGACCAAGCGGAGTTGAAGCCTCTGCCTCTTCACCTTCTGAAGGAGCTGGTTATTGTGGTGATTCCTTCGTCTCCTGTTGCCTCGCCTACCGATCCCAGGACCTGTCAGCAGACTGACTAGCAGTGGTGGACTCAGCCCACTTTGGACCTCTGCATCCACCAGCTTGTGTCTCCCACTGTCTCTACTTCCTCATCCGGCTTCCTGTTCATCAGCTTCCATGAGTCCGGAGAAGCCCGACATGGACTGGAATGAATTTACTCATTCCTATAACTATGTGCACCATTTCTTGATACAAATCTCTTTCTATATACAACACACACATGCAAGCATCATTTGTTTTGTTTCCAGAGAACTCATCCTCACACAAGGTGTGATCTCTTATCTTTCCATGCACAAACTTCCGGTGACCTTAGCCACTGGCGATGCCAGTGTTATGCCACTTTCTCATTGTCCTCAGTGCTTTCCTCTCCCCATTCCATACTTTGCTTTTCTCTTGCCTTTATTAGTTTTTTTGGTTTTTTTTTTAGTCATGTGGAGTGGATACCCAGACCTCCTTAACTAGCAACATATGCCCACACCTTCCGCATCCTGCAGTGACCATCATGTTCCAGCTGCAATCAAATTTGATGGCTTGCCTCAAGTTGTCATATTAAAATATCCTGTGGGGAAAATATTGAATGATGTAGGAAGCATCAAAAGTTGTGAATAATACACAGTCACTGTAATAAAAAGAATTAACCCGTATACAACCATTTCAACAGATAGCATATGAGCAAGAACCAGTGTACTGAAGGAAGACATCCAAACTGCACTGCAGGCATGAACCAGAAACAAAGCTCCAGGAATTGATGGACTAGCAAGTGAAATGTTTCAACAAGCTGATGAAGCTCTGGAAGTACTTACTCATCTGGGCCAAGAAATTTGAAAGATAGTTTCTTGGACAACTGACTGGAAAAGATCTGTATTTCTGCCCATTCTAAAGGAAGGTGACAATATAGAATGTGTAAATTATAGAGCACTGTCATTAATATCACACGTAAAGTTTTCCTACGTATCATCAGACAGCAGTTGCAGTAGTACGTGGGCAGGGAGCGGTCAGAGGTTCGGGCCAGAGTCAAAAGAGAAGGTGGAACAAGGGATATCAGCTCCACAATGGATCTTGACTGAAAGTAGGGATCACCAGAATGAAGTTCACCTGTTTTTCACTGATTATGCAAGGCATTAAGCTGCGTGGAGAACAACAAACTACGGGTAGCCTTGAGAAGAATGGGAATTCCAGAACATTTCATTGTGTTCATGGGAACCTGTGCATAAATCAAGAGGCAGTCCTGTAACACAACAAGGTAATACTAGCACGGCTTAAAATCAGGAAAGGAGAGCATCCACGTTGTATTCCCCCACCATACTTGTGCCATCTGGATGCTAAGCAAATCATCCGAGAAGCTGGAGTAGATGAAGAGGAATGTGGGATCAGGAGTGGAGCATATTAACAACCTGCAATATGCAGACGACCCAACGTCGCTTGCTGGAAGCCAGGACGACCTAAATTGCTCACTGATGAAGATCAAGGATTCCAGCCTTCACGGTGGATGACAACTCAATGTAAAGAAAGCAAATAGTCTCACACTGGGACCGATCGAAAACATCATTCAAAACGGAGAACAGATTGAAATTGTCAAGGATGTCATCTTGCTGGAGTTCGCCATCCATGCTCACGGAAGCAGAAGGTAAGAGACGGACTGAAGCATCGCCTTGGGTAAATCTGCTATACAAGACCTCTGTACAAGCCAGGATGTTACCTGTTGGACCCAGGGGAACCCGCCCCAAGCCACGGTAGTTTCCGTT